ATGGTTACGCATCGTACTAAAAATACATCGAGAAAGTGAGAATTTCAAATCACTGTGATAAATAAGCTGGGTGGAGAGTGCACTTACAAAATTCTATTACGTCTAGACGAACGTCTACGGTAATTGCGTTGCGGAAGAGTGTGTTAATAATTCAAATCTACGCATTGAGCCCATTAAATGATGAATTACGGTATCGTTGCTCCTTACTGCGAATTGCGTAGGCAGTGCTGTTGAATGGTGCAATAGCTGGATAATTGGCCAGTAATCTTACAATACTCTCCACGACAACTTTTCAATTTCACGGAAGCTGATCGTAAACTCTCGAAATAATCACGAATGATACGGATAAACACTACATTTCATTGATCTTTCGTAAACCGGGAAAGCCGAAGACGTCTGCACGCAGCCGAACCGCTTATTACGTAAAAGTCTGAGAAAACGGGCAAGATCGAAACGAAGAAACCCCGGCGAAGAAAAGTCACAGGATCACCAACAGGATCGCACGGCACACGAATCGATTGTGGGAGACAGACGACAGCGGAGAAACCAGACTGTCGTCCTGGCGAATGCAAATGCGGGTCAAAGAATCTAGCTCTCCCGTGAGACAGCGGCATCGATATTGCCTAATACGAAGCAACGGACACCAGAATTTCCCGTTGACAGTTCGCCGATCGTCCGGATCGGTCCTCGAAAACACAGAATTTTCCGAACAGGCTCGATTTTCCCGTAGGTATCGAAGTCACGGAACGGGCTCTCGAATTTCTGGGATTCAGGACTCCGAGAATCGAACGAGGATGCTGCAGAACGAACGCTCCCGTTTACTCTTACCTGGGACGAGGGTGGTGTAGAGCAGTCCTGGACGAGAAACTTCGACACACAATCGAGACGTTGTCCGTCAATCAGTGTCTCGCGAGGAACTGGCTTTTACAAAGACCTGGAAGTCCTTTCACGGTAAGGTATGTTCGTCCGTCGGGCCACGTCCGTCCGTTTGTCCTGGCATGCTCTGCTCCGGCGCCTCGACGCCCAACCACCCGCCGAGCTAACCTAACCCAACTCACTCGATAACCCACCCATACATATACAACTTCGTCGAGCTTTTACGAAACAATGTATCGATAAATTATGTAGGGACAGTCCTCTTTTTCTACGCACGCAATACCGGCCAAAGTTTACATCTTATACATTTTATGTAAGACGGCCTGAAAAAATGGGCGCCCTGAGCTTACATCCTGGATATTCTTTGGTATACTGTTTCACCTGCATTGATCTCTATTCGAAATCGAATTGTTCCTCCCTTTTTCTTGCTCGTTAACCAGTTAGCTGTTTTTTGACGAGTATATTCGTCGTAGTACAAAATGCTGCCATTTCTTCGTGACAAGAACACTCGTCAAAAATAGCTAACTCTGGTTACGAAGGATATATAGTTTGATATTCTTTATGTTGAATTATATAATTTATATATTATATATTTTTAAGTTATAGTAACTTGAACACTTTTCAAAGAAACTGTAACACTGCTAACTGATTAATTGATATTTATTGAGCAATGGTGTCTTCACAATCGGTACGAAAGTATTTTCTGCTTCTTCACTTTAGCGATGGGGCTTAGTCAGGATGCTGAAGCTAAAGATTTTCTTTCTGAAGAAAGGGGCACTTCTTTCTCAAAAATTGTAAAATGTTCGTTGATAAATTATGCAAACAGTCCTGTATCAGTATGCACGTAATATAAAACAAAATTTACTTATACATTTTTTATGTAAGACGACCTGAAAGAATGGTTGCCATGAGCCCACCCTGGATATTTTTTAGAATTCTGCCTTGTCTGCATTGTTTTCTATTTTTGAGATCGAATTATTTACTCGAATTATTCGAATTCTTTTTATTTTCTATTATTTGACATTTATTGAGTAACAATGCCTTTATTGTTACGTACATTTTATAGTATAAGGATATTTTCTGCACATTTTCTGTGTTCAGTTAAAAAGGATGAAAAAAACGACGTTTTAAAAATTTGCAGAATTTTACTTCTTACTTTATTAATGAATGGAATGAGGAATGTGGATACTTCAAGGATTGCGTTCAGTTAGAAGGTCATGAGTGAATGATGTTTCAAAAATTGAATAATTTTACTTTTTACTTTTTTTTATTGATTAGTATAAATTTGGGGATGTTGCTTTTGTTAATAGTATAAAGATATTTTTGCATACGTATATATCAAGGGGTTGCAATCAATTAAGGAGCCAAAAGAAAGTAATTTTCATGTATTTTTTGCTGAGAAACTGTATGACTTTCTTCGAGAAAATGGAATTATTAAAATTATCCATGTTGAAAATGAATTATTTTAGAGAGCACCGCATAATTTTATTAGCTGGAAATATTTATCAATCCTAAAGTTATGGCTGTCTTCTCGAGAACTTGCTAACTCCCTGCTAAAACAAGGGCAATCTAGGAAACTTACTGCTACTTAGTTCATCTGCAATTAAAAATTCGATACAGTTTGTGTAGCATACTACACTATGTAGCCCATAAGCATAGAACTTTTCGAAATATTGATCTGAGAGAAAATGGCGGACGTTTCAAGGTTGAATTGCGATTTTTAACATCAATATCGCTCTTTTTCACTCAATAAGACAGAAAGGAACCAACATAAAAGTTTTCGTTCGAGAGCTAGTTAATATAGTGTATTATACATCTCTTATCGAATTTCTAATTTTAGATGAAGCAATATCCAGTAAGTATGGTCACCACCTAGGACCTCCTGGAGGTCGTCTTTGTAATTTATAAATATTTTAAACTTTATAATTGATAAATATTTTTAATTTAAAAAATTGTAAGCTACCCTTTAAAAAATAAGCAACCAGCAATTCCAATAGCAGTAAACTGAAGCAACTGAAATAGTAATGAAATTATACCTAGATAATTACTTGTACACCTGGTATACACATATTATGAACATAATCGATCGATCCGTTTGTTATAGCACGTAACTTCTCTTCGTGACTTTCCATTACCTTTAATAACCATTTAACTACAGGTCAGTGAACGTATTAAAACATCCCTTCAGAAGAAAAGTAGGTGAACAGAATTTTTACTTTTGTCTATCTATATGATGATTTCGGGGACCATTTTAATTATGTTCACATGTATTAAATAATACATCAAATAAATGAAGATAAAATTGTTTTGTTTTTGGAAAGTGCAAAATGGGAAAAGTTGAATTTAAGAAAGAATTCAATTATTCTAAAGTACCGAGGCCATTTCTATCATTATCTTCATCCTTTAAAGTATCGAAAACTGTGCTAAGACTTTATCATGCTAGATATCTAAACATTTTTATAATTTTCATATAACAGTTACCATAGATAAGTATATTATTTATATTTGATGAAAGAATGAGAGTGTTTATCATTTTGTTACTAGATTTTTTCTGTCATATTTATGTAATATATGTATATAGAATACAATTGTTTATTTCTAATTTATGTACAAATAATTTCTTTAACAGCCACGCTTACAATTCTAATTAAATATTTTTCATCAGGAGTAGTAGTTGGTTGCGTCGTTTTCGTTAATGTGTTAAATGTGGACCAATGATTACATTCCCCATATATGGGTGATTTTGCAATTCATATGCTAGAATAACACGCGAAGTTAGTAACTAATTAGTAACTTCGGTTGGGTTTGGAGAAAAAGGTCATTCGGTTCAAACCAATCTTTTGCACCCTACATTGTTTTCTCTTCCTTTAAATGTCATGTGTTTGCAGCCATATGCACTCGCTGCGACCCACCATATATACTATCAAACTATTACTAAAACTATACCAACTTTTTCACTAGTACTCCTGATTTAATGCAATATTATTTCACGGTAGTCTTTTTACATTTATATAGAGTAACGATTCAAGCCATGAGCCTTTATATTTTTACACCCTGTACAGGGTTTCAATTGTACACATGCAACTCATATTCATTGTTAGTAACTTTCATTGATGAAAGTTTGAATACAATTGAATGCGTCTACTAATAGAAAATCTGAAGGGTACGATGATGTAAACGGGGAAAAGGTTGATACTATTCGTAGCACATTGGTTTTTGTCTGTCGGTATCTTCTTTCATTGTCTATGTTTATAGAAATAACAATACTGTTTGTTATGTCTCACAAGAATATTTAATGGTGAATAATTCGCATTTTCTACTGATTGTAATTAGAACCAACTCATCAAACAATAAAGGCAACAGGTGCAGGTATTCCAGAAAGAGCTGCATTTTCATAAATGCAAATGCAATGACACATTTACATTTTTCTACAGCTTTACTATTTTTTAAAAGAGAGTCGTATATCTTTTGAATAGTTTAAATCCTCTGGTCAAGCTGCACGTAAAAAAAGCAACGTGGTTAGTCAATGATTTGTTCGTGAGATAAAGTACTGGATATATTGTTGCGTTACTTGAATATTAATAACGTTATCATTTATATCGTACTGTATATCTGTGTAATACTTTCGTATTAGCAGACTGCAGATATTAAACATTTACGACAAAAATGGATAAGCGAATATTTAAATTCAAGAATTTTATTAATTTATTCGTGAGTGATTACAATTACTAGAATAACAAAAATCTTTATTTTGCAGGAAGATCTACAGAGTAATTACTACTATTCCAAAATTGTAACATACATTTCTTAGAAAATTGAAACTCATGATTTCTGCCAAATTATGTTGCATTTAGATGATTTCATCAATCGTAATATTCTGAACTTGACAAAAGTCAAGTACTTATATTACTCTATATTGGAAACACAAGTAATTGTTGGCATTCAACGATCATAATTCTTCTTGGTGCCCAGAGGCATTGCCATTTCTCGGTAGTTATTTTGTGTGCGTTGAGTTTTTTGTTTCGGTTGTTTGGGTCCTAGTTCTAGTCAGCGTTCTAGTCAGTCTGTCGCAGTTACGTAAGCGGACATAAAGGACATAAAGGGCATAAAATAACACGTGTACATACTTAGAATATAATATTATTATTTAATTGGATATGCGGTATTCCTGTTGTTTATTTCCATCAGTAATGTTAGCGAATCGCTGAATTTCGCGTAGAGAAGTAATTTTACTCGTAAATCATATTGCAATGCGAATTATTTAATAAAGAACAAACGTGTAATATATTTAGTAACATGACAATTTTAATGATCGCATAATTATCCGTTCAGAACGTGCAAATACGTTCATCTAAGAGAAACGAAGGTTGGAAATGGTTAATGGAATGCGTAAGGAGTGGTACTCTAATTCCCCTGTAATTACGATGACACATTCACGTTAATATGCATTAGATTAAAGGCAGTTTTGAGTAATACGTTCAACTCTTCAGTTTACTAATTTTGTCTTTTTCATACTTGGCTAACACGACAAAGTCCATTATTAAATTAACTTTTAACAACATGGACTCCAATCATTTGTATACACATTTATCATTAAAATACAATTGTACGTATACCAATATAAAAGGTTCAATTACAATATTCTAATTCAGAATTTACTTTTACGAAACAATTTTAATGAATTTTATTCCGTTGAAAAAATATTTGCTTGTCTTTCTGAAAACGTAAAGAAGGCCATCCAACATAAGTAACGTTTTGCTTTTGTTTTTATGAAAGTAGATGTTTACCCGCATATATAGATAAATTCAATTAAATTAAAAAAAGGTTTTTAAAAGTCAATAATTTTAACTTGCCCAACAATTTTCATGATACTGTCTCGGAGAACTTTAAACGATCATTTCTCTTTTAAAAATTATTTTAACTGTACTATTTATTGAAACTTTACTCTATAATTGTCTTTTAAGATACGAAAGTATAAAAATTCAATTAAATATATCACTTGCGTTTAGCAACTTCAAGTATTCAATGTGCAACGTCATTGTAGCATAGAATGTATTTTAAAACTTTTTAACGTATGAGACTGTTATCTGACACCCCAGCCACGATTAGTCGTAAAAGAGTCCTAATAAACTTTTATGCTATCATTTATAATGCACCAGTAGTAGCTTGGTATACTGAAAACTCGATGGAAAGATATCTCAATAAACATCATATGCGTGGTGAAACTTGGCCACCTACGACTCTGAATTTGCCATTGACGTTGCCAAGCTGTTTCACGCACCACTATTTCCCAGTCATTAACCGCATATAGATCGCTCTCCAGACTTTTTGTCCACCGAAACAGTCGTTTCATTCAGTACAGTTTGCATCCTCGCATGCCATCTTCCCCGCGGCGATTTTATCGACAGAGAGCCTAACGTATACGGTTATATGCCATGTGAGCATTGCATCCGGATTAATGAAAGCAATTTCAAGTTTTCACTCATGGAAATTTCATAATAGTAATTGTTTACCAGAAAACTCTAGCCGACGAAGATTTTGCTTCAGCTTAGCAGGGCGTCCGACTCAACTCGACACGAAACGTAAGCGCCGATTACCTGAAATCACAGAAAGTTTGGTGACGTTATTTGTGTGCTCAGTATTTGCAGATTAAACATATTCGATGATCCCGAAATTTTTAATCGAGACGAGCTTAGCGTTGTTGGTCAACAAAGGTATACACAATTATCGTGACCATGGTTTTGTTAACGTTTTAATATTTTGTAAGCCTTCGTTTATTTTATAGCAACATCTACTTATAATTATATTATGAATTGAATTTATATTTCTTGAAGTTATACACAAAACAGAATTTAAGAAATTATGTTTATATTTTTGTGAAAGAATCTATTCTTTAATAAGTTATTTTATAACGGTTCGATGTTAATATCCGAGTTCTACTCTATAAAAAACTATTATTATTAATATATATCATAGTTATAATATACATTATTATTAAAACTGTAGTTTTGACATAAGGAGCTTTAAATATGAAATGCTGGTTCATATAGTGCATCACTTTTAGCTGCATTTGTTAACTCCATATGCATTTCTTTTTTTAATAAAGATCAAGAATAAGATTTTAAAAATTAACAATATATAATTGATTTTTAATACTGAAGTTTTAATATTGAAGTTTTAATACCGCTACATCGCCTTAAGAACTTAAATCAGAGAGTTTTAATAAATATGTAAGAATTTCGAATGCAATAAATATTGAACTTGTAATAGAAGTTCGTACTCCTATTTTAAAATTTATACTACATCCGAGAAGTGCTGTAGCATAAATGAAATTTATTACATAAGTCGATATATAAGATCTCTCAATGAATCGTGCTATAATAGGATTACGGGGAGAACTTGTGAAGTTGATAGGCACAGCTCATTTAGAGTGAGGTTGTTTGAACTTTTGCCTGTCATTTAGAGGTAACTTATAGTTTATACAGTTTGTATAGAAATTTACAAGAAGAGTTATTATGAGAACAAAAAGGCGAATAAAAATATAAAAATTACATTTCCAGTTACACATACAAAATATTGATAATGGTTAGATTGTGGATCATTTGTACAATGTAGTAGTATGTGAAAGCTTTATGCGTACTCAAAAACATCTATGTTAATCAATATTTTTATTTTATTATGACGTGAAAGAATTTTCCAGTAGAAGAAAATATATATAAATATTTATATAAAGATTCGCAGTCTAGTAGTAGTTCAGTAAATAATTACTTTCCATGATACTTTTATGGAAGATCGTAGTGAGAAGATGGAAAGTAGAAAGTAAGTAGAACTGTCGAGAAATGAACAGACCGTATTCACAAGTCCGCGAATCCAATGAATTTTCAGTTTCAAGGATCGATTAAAAATAACAGTACACTAACAATGAAAGTGCTTATTTTATTGCAACAATAGCAAATATACCAGACGGGCCTGTGTATTTTTTTTATTGTAACAATAACAAAGAAATCAGACTGATCTGAATATTTTATCGTTCAGCCTGAGTTTATATTGTCAACTTGCTGTTCGTATCAATATTATATATCTTTGGCAGATTTTAATTGGCCATACTAGTTAATATAAACGATGCTTTATATTAAATATATTTCGTTGATATTCCTTAGATTATTATTACTACCAGTAGAATTATATTTATAATAATAAATTACATTTATGAAAGAATTAGAATTATTACAATATTTTTCCGTACATAGTGAAAGACGTCAACGACCCCACTAATCAAGTTGATACGATTTCCTGTACTGCCAAACGGTTCGATATCGTATAGAATTATTAAAACATCATATTCTTCACAATATTACAAATGGATCTCATGAATAATTAAATGCACTTTTATTAATCCCAAACAATGAACACAAAACATATTGTGTTATTTTATAAGTAATAATTTCTCAACTACTAAATGCATAGAATAGCAAAAAACGTTTATTATATTATAATAATGGGTTACAAAGTTTTTAATGAAAGTATTAAAAAATTGATCATGAAGACTAAATGGAATGTAGTTGATTTGACAAATCTATTTATTTTGTAACGCTAAACAAAATACAGTACACAAAGGACCATTTGTACAAATGTGAAACACAAAATCAATAATCGTGACATGAAAAAAGGGTTGCAAGAATTGTGTAATATTTCTCGCAACGTCGTGACTACCAAGAAACAGCTTACTCATTCGGTCAGTACAATATAGAAATACATGTTGACATCTAGACACATCGGGATTCCCTTGAATTCTATTACTGACCTGTACATAAATTTAGTCGTAAAGAAATTTTATTTCTTTTTTAAATTGCTTCAAACATACAACACTTTCACAAATTACAGTAAATTCACCCTAATTGACGCTCAGCTTGTACACAAAAATGGACAACTTGGGAAGAGAAGGTACGATTATTCGAGACTTGCGGCTCGTTTTTATAGTTGCTGACAATTGGTAACTATAAAAATCAGTACCGCAAGGCTCGAATAATCGTATCTCCTCTTCTCAAATTGTCCATTTTTGTGTATAATCTGAGCGTCAATTAGGGAGAATTTACTGTATATCAAAATTTAATTGAATTATAAGTCATTTTCCATTGCATATATTTAGAGATTTATGTATGTCTAAATATATGCAATGGAAAATGACTTATAAAGACTATAACTACATATACATATATATTTAGTGTCTAATAATATGAGACTTCATGTACGTCGTATATGTTTTACGATTTCAATTGTTTTCATTCTTTCAGTTTACTACACTGTATACATTCGTTGAATTGCTGAGATATATAAGTTTCTTGTTACAACCAAATAATTTGCCCAGTTTATTTATAAAAGTAACTAAACTGCACTTATGTAAATTTTATAAGATTTTTATTATATCAAGCTCTCGAAAACTAATATTCTTCAGAAACGTCTTTATAACTTCAATAATTGCAAAACAAGAAATTTGAAATCAGTCTAGTGCCACCACTAGACTGAAAACAAAATGTCGTCTTCATTAATAGTAAATAACATTTTGATTGCTCAAAATTTTCTTTATCGAATAAATTCATTGTTTATGACTTATGGATATTGATGGTTCATCAATATTAGATACAACTGACTTGCATGGTTCGTCTTAGAATTATTACATCTTAGAATTATTATATAAAACGTATTATAAAAGTAAAGATAATTAAACGAACTGTCGAAGTGTATATCACTGAATTGAAGATGTCCTTAAAAGCCAGTAGTTTTGTTACGCCCTCTGCGAATAACATGATTCTAGAAACACTATTAAATCTATCGATCGAAATTCTTGGAAAGGAGATCACATACTATTACACACAAATAGCATTATTTCCTTCACCCTAGTCAAAACAAAAGACTTACACTTTTTCATTACAATTTTAACATTTATTGTGAACATAACTGTAGTTTTATATTTTGTTCAGGCAATAATTATAAAATTGATTCCACACACACAATATTTTTATACAATAAAATTTGCATTTTTAATTTTAAGTATCTACATTTTATTTCCGGTAATATGGAAAGATTTCATCATGGAGAAAGAGTAGATTTATGGATTTTCAATCAAAATTCATTTAATACTCAAATAGTAGGATTCGGGCCCATTTGGGCCCTAAGTATAAATATTCTTTGATTCTCTAGTTTCAGACAATTAATTTAAGTTTCCACATGTTTCTTTAGGGTCTATAGAGAAATTGATATGTCCAGAAGATTAATTTTGCTAATTAAAGAATTTAGAATCTAGTCCAAATTGCTATAACAGTACAGGTTCGATTCCCACCAAATTAGCTCCTTCCTATATTGAGATTTTTATTATATAATCGTAATTCTTTTCAAGTGAGAATGTCCCTAGCGCAAAGTACATTTCTTCAACTCTAATTTGAGTTCTCAGGAATTCCAAAATTTCCATGGAAATAGAATATGATATCGGTTCAAAGTATCTTCTGAGAAACGAATCCTTTCTCTCCAAGATTAGTATGTGGTTTAGATAAAAAAATTTTTTTAACTTGATTTCGAATTTTTCTAGAATCCTAAAGAGATTTATTAAAACTAACGATGTTCCAGTTTAAATGTAAATTCTCGAAAGTTCGAGAATTCCTTCGATACTCCATGGGTCCAAATTATGCCAACTCGGTGTTTAAATAAAGTATACAGATACTCGATTCATACTAATAGATCTAAATTCATGAACTATTGAAAAATAAAGTACTAGACCTATTTCTACTTCGTTCCTACATCTCGTTTGAAATTCCATTTTACCAACAGTTGATTCCTGGAGCAGTCACTTATTGATTATTTCACAAGCATGAGTTTCCAGAACCGACTTCTGGTAAAGAATGTTTATTAACGGAAATTATGATAACTTTCAGCAGCATTTGCATAGCTCATATACCGACAGAGATAAGCCAGGATTGAAATACCGATTGCAGGTTAACATTTTTATAAATCAATTTTGTTTTATTATTTCTTTACATAATTCTATAATCTCTATCTAACTGTTCGCGTTTTGTATATTCTATATTAGACATACATGGATAAATAATCTATATAAAATATTGTTTCTAATAATCAATCAAATGTTCCATAAAAATGTTGTATAAGATTTAATAAACCTGTTGAACACCATTGTTAATATTTCTAAAACAATAAACAGAAATTGAGATATATAATGGAACAAGTTTCAGCAATAAGGGACTGCTCCACTTTTGCAGAATTGTAGTAAACTAACAAAAACCAATTAAAAATTAAGTAGCGATTCAAACTATAAATGCATTTTATACTGAAGAACTGATACTTCACCT